TAATTTTGAAAAATTAATTTTTTAAGATAACTTGGCTTGCTTGACTTAAGGGGGCAGGACCATGAAGCTTATGTTGATGTTCCACCCGGCGGGTGGAAACATTCGACACGTTTCCTTACACCTGTTGTCCTGTTCACCTAGCAGCAAATAGGTACCTGGGTGTTAGTCGACTGGGGGACAAGATTAAGGACCCCAATGGAAATAAGTTAGACAGTCCTCGATGACGCACTGACTTTCTTGGGTTATCCTGGGTGGCTAACCCTCCGGGGTTAAAAATCCGAACGAAATCTTATCTTATCTTATCTTAGAATTTGTTATTGGAAGTATTTTGATATACAATTTTTTGTTTATCCCATACAAATAATGAAGTTTACATGTAATAAAATATTGATAGGTATGGATGAAAGCCACTAATTATGCAATGCATTAATACACTTGATAGACAAACAAATTTTGATGTCATAAATACTGTCTGTACCTCTGTAAATATTACCCTAATGTGCTTATTACATCAAGAAAGAAGGCAAACATCAAGGGAGGCAAATTTGGCTATGGGAAATCCATTGAGTGCATTCACAAACAAATTTTATGGTTAGGTTTTAATTATATAGGGGTTCATTTGCTACACCAGTGATCTAACAGTACTACCAGAATGAAAACACACATTTCTTGACTTATTTTACCAAAAATGCATGAGCAAAAAGTTATCCAAAAACAAAGCAATCAAACTAACAAAATCAGATGAACCCCTACTCACTCCAACCGAAACAGCAAACAGACTTAATGTTTTCTTCTCCACCATAGGAAAAAATCTAGCAAACAAAATACCAAGCACAAACGCCCGTCCATCAGACTACCTCATAGGAACCTACCCAAATACACTATTCCTAGCTCCAACCAACCCCACTGAAGTTATGCTCATCATAAACACCCTTAAAAACAAAGCAGGAGACATAAACAACTTGCCTGCTTTTATGTACAAAAAAGTATTCTCAAGTATTGTCACCAATTATTGCAATTCTCTTTAACAAATCCATTGAATCATCTACCTTCCCAACAATCCTCAAAATAGTGAGGGGTCACTCTGATCCATAAAGGAGGTGACCAAGCTGACTTGAATAACTATAGACCAATATCTAACTTACCACTGCTCTCTAAAATCTTTGAAAAATTAATTCATAGACAGATCTATTCCTACCTCACTTCACACAACATATTAAACCCTTGTCAGTTCGGATTCAGGAATAATATAAGCACAAATGATGCTATCATACACATGCTAGAACTAATATATACCGCACTTGAAAAGAAATAAGTCCCGCTGGGCATTTTCATTGATTTACGTAAAACTTTCGATACAGTCGACCATGAACTACTGCACTCCAAATTAATGCACTATGGTATCAGAGGCCACTCCCTCAACTACCTAAAGTCATACCTTAGTAACAGAACTCAATATGTGTATGCAAATGATGCAAACTCCTCCACCCAACCAATCACAGTAGGAGTCCCACAAGGAAGCGTCCTTGGACCACTCCTCTTTCTCATCTACATCAATGATCTACCGAATGCATCACAGCTACTCAAACCCATATTATTTGCAGATGACACTACATATGTATTTTCCCACCCAAACGCAGTCATACTAGCAAACACAGTCAATGCAGAATTACAGAAAATATCTGCCTGGATGATGACTAACAAACTTACCCTGAACACTGATAAAACCTATTTCATTCAGTTTGGAAACAAAGCTGCAAATGATCCAATTAACATTGCACTAAATGGATCATCAGTCACAAGACTCACAGAGGGAAAATTCCTAGGTATCCACCTTGACAGTAGCCTTAAGTTCCGGACACACATACAACAAATCACCAAGAAAATCTCCAAGACTGTAGGCATACTATCAAAGATAAGGTACTATGTTCCGCAATCAGCTCTCCTGGCACTGTACCATTCACTCATATACCCTTATCTTACATATGGAATTTGTGCATGGAGATCAACAACATCCAATCACCTAAAACCCCTAGTAACCCAGCAAAAGGCAGCATTAAGAATGATAACAAATTCCCACTCCCGCCAGCATACTCCACCAATTTTCAAAAGTCTGAATCTGCTTACCATTAAGAACATCCATACGTATTCATGTGCCTACTACATACACAGAACAATACACGCAAATATAAACCCCCCACTCAAACTTTCCCTCACCAACCTAAACAGGACACATGACCACAACACAAGACACAGATCTCTTTTTGATATACCTCGTGTCCATATCACACTGTGTAAAAACTCTATGCACATAAAGGGCCCCAAAATATGGAATTCATTACCAGAAGATATTAAAGTAACCCAGTCTGAAAATCAATTTAAGACTCTTCTCAAAAGCCACTTAATCACCCTAGACTAAATGCTGAATACTCAGTACGCATTTACTCACCTATGTACTCCCACATCATAACTGAAACAGTCACATTGAACCTTTTATCCATTGTTACAGGAATATAATTGAATCATTGTTTTTCACAAAAGCATTTTAGAATATAAATATATCTTTGTATTATACAAATTTTGATTCATTTATAATTAATATTCTACTGTACAACTATGAAATAATTACTTTCCTACTGTACAACTATGATATACTACTCCTTAGTATTAAGTAGAATGTAAGCCAATAATGTTAAGTTGGCCCATAATGCCTAGGCATAATAGAGGCTTTCTCTGCATTGCAACCCACTATTGTATATACACAATCTCCATGTACTGTTTGCAAAGACATTAAATAAATAAATAAATATGAGGTGTTGCACAGCAGAAAAGAATGAGTGCCACCATGGCCAGAATCTGGTTCAGTGAAGGAATTGATTCCTCACTGTTTTGTCTGTTTCTGGAAATGTGAAGATATTGCCTTCTGTATATGTAAGTTAGGCTCACAACCCTAGAACAAAGTATGTATGTTGAACTTAGCTTCATAGCTCTGAGCTCCTCTGTGCCTGCATTTTTCTCTATTGTTGATTATGCTCATGTTCTTTTCTGCCATGCACAAAATGGTCATTTACAAAAACAAATTATCTGTTAATAATAATCTAAAATTAATTTACTATTCTTATACAATAACAAAACCAGCATTGAAAAGCTACAGTCTATTTTAACCTGCCCATAAATCTAGCTGAAGATACTAAAAATTTCTTCACAGAATGGTAGAACAATAGATTAGAGGTACGAAGTGCTACAACCACTGATAATTTAGTAGTTTTTTTTTTTTATGATAGATTAAGTAAACGTGGAACATCACGAGAAAATCTGTTCCTGTAGCTGTGAATAGATATCACACATACATGGTTGTATGTCAAACATGGTGGAACCTCGGTTTTCGTCTTTAATTCATTCCAGAAAGTCTCATGAAAAACAAATTCGACAAAAACTGAAGCAATATTTTCCATAAGAAATACATAATGTAAATCCAATTAAACTGTTCCAGACACCCAAAAATATTAACAAAAAATACATTTTATAGACAATAACTATAGTTTTACATACAGAAAACAGTGAGAAATAAATATAAAGGACTAATGAAATGGATAAATGAACATTTAGCATAACTTTTACCTTTGTTGAAGACTCTTGTTGGTGTATGGAAGATGGCGAGGAGGGGAGAGGTTATTGTTTGGAAGGAGAATCCCCTTCCATAAGGACTTGAGGTATCAAGTCCCTATCTGGGGTTACTTCCCTTCTTTGTCTTTTACTGGCACTAAGACCAGCTTGAGAGTCACTGGACCCCTGTCACACAAAAAAATCTGTTCAGAGAGGTCTGTTTCTGGCATCTCTTTAAGATTTGCCTAAAATGGGACAAGGCATTGTCATTGAACATGTTGCAGATATGGCTTGCAACATCCGTGTCTGCAACTCACTCCACTTTGCACACATGTCCTTAATCACTGAAGAAGACACATTCTCCCCTCTCTCTTCCTCCTCCTCCTCTGAAGCAATTTCCTCAGCTGCGATCTGTTGCTGTTCCAGTTGAAGGTGTTGCAGCTCTTCCGTGGTTAGCTCTTCCCTGTGGTCATCCACCTCCTCTTCTACATCCTGGCCACTTGCATCCATCCCCATGGACTTCCCCAAAGCCACAATAGATTCCACAACAGGCATAAAGTTGTCAGGGTCAGTCTCAAACCATTCAGAATCCTTCTCTTTGACACATTCTGGCCACAATTTCTCACCTTTTTTTTCAAAGGGCTGGCCCCTGGAGCTTTCTTTGGCCCCATGGTGGCTTATTTAGCAGACACACTCAAACAAGAACAAAAAACAATGGATTATAATGAAATGTTTTGTATGAAAGCACAGGGTAATGTTCACTCGACGAAAAATAAAGCCAGATTGACTCAGAACATATGCGTGGGATGGTTTGTGTGGGCGCGGGCAGGCAAGACACGTTCGGTACGGTGGATGAAAACCAAGGTGATGAACGAAAACTGGGACAAAATTAATGAAAAGAGTCGTCAAAAACCGAATTTGATGAAAACCAGGGTAAACGAAAACCGAGGTTCCACTGTACTGTATATTGCAGTTGAACTCCAGGCACATTTTTTTAACTAATTCCACTAAAAATTTGTTTCTAAATAGTTTTTATAGAACAATGAGTAGTTAGTCATGTCATATATCACTTTGGTGGTTTATAGAGATTAAAGATTGAATGCAATAGAACAGGTATGCACAGTCTGCAACTCATGGGCCACATGCTACTCTTGAATGGCACAGTTGTGGCTCTTGATATCTTATGTAGAAGATAATCAAACTACTACTGAACTGTGACACTGAATATTGTACCTTACACTGGCTTTACTAATTTTATAAATAATATGCAGAGCCTAGTATTCAGTCAGTATGTGGTGATTGAAAATGTTGTGCAGCTGTGCTACGTATGGTGGGGGGAAATATTTATTGAATAGCGTTGCAAAATTTATAACTACTTTTTTTTTCTTTTGCAGGTAAAACATCCAGACATAAACCAGTATTTCGATTACTTTGATGGTGCTCAGTATATTCCCTGTCCATGGTTGCGAGCTGTATATCCCAGAGATTGATGTTTGTAGTGTAAATAAGCAAAAACATATTTCATAAATGTGAAAATGAAAATAGTCGTTGGTGCATAGAGTAAATCAGTTAATGGCTGTGTCACCATTTCAGGAACAAATCCTTTTCAATACAACCAGATAAGTTGTAAGGTTTAATATGATGATGAATATGTAACAGCTAAATATTTTCTAGCACTAGATAAGATGGAATATATTTTGAAATGTAATATTCATCACTTACTGTTGGGGAAAACAGTATACAAGGACAAAGCTTTATTTTGTAATAAAGTCTTGCTATGTTTTACAGAAGGGCAGCATCTGCCCTTCTTCATTGAATTACCTTGCAATACATTTAGGCAGAATCTATGCTTGTAACTTAATGGTAGTGTGTTCCACTCACAGTCGAAGGACCCAGATTTAATGGTTACGTAGTAATGTATTTGCAAGTTTTACACCTGCTGCCCCTGTTTACCTTACAGCAAATAGGTACCTGGGAGTTAATTGACTGTTAATTGACTGTTATGGACTTCATCTGCCTTATCAGGATTTCATACTGATAGGACAGAGCTTTAAAATGAGCTGAGGTAGGATGACCATTCTCAGTTTGTAAATTTAGTGCTGTAAAATAATATGTATATATTGAAGGAAGAAACAGGCTTCAGTTATAAACTTTTCTTTATTACTGTCGTTTTTATATTTAAGTAAAACTTTTTAATGCACCATCCATCTTCCACTGAGGAAGGATGACCCAAAAAAGAAGGAACATTTTCACCATGACTCATTCAGTCATTGTCTTGCCAGAAGATTGCTGACATCACAGCTCAGGTGGCCCTCAGAGCTGCACCCTGAGGAGGGATGGGAATGTTGCAGTTGGGAGGGCCATCCGAACTGTGATGTCAGCATGCTTCTGGCAAGGCAGTGATTGAATGAGTGATGGTGAAAGCATTTCTTCTTCTTCAGGCCACTTGACCTTAGTAGAAGATGGCCAGTGCGTAAAAATAAAGAACGCTTGAAGGTGTTTTGCTACACTGCCTTTCAAGTTTTCTCCAGTTAGAGAAACTTTAAACATCAATAATGAATTTAATAGAAAAAGTTGTGCCTGCAATTTGATGATCATTTTCTGCATTTTAGACATTCCTTTTTAACTTCACTCATTGTTATTGCTGTGATGCTAATAATCGATTTTTTTATTTATTAAATTAAAGAAACTTGATTAATTCTTGTTAAGTTGCAGATTAGCGCAATTGCAAAAATGTAGGGTGGAACTAGCATGGTGATATGTACAAGTTGTAAGTAAAAGATACATGTGCACTGATCAAGACATTTACTAAGGAAACGTTTTGCCATGAGTTGCTTTTTAATGCAGAGTAGCTAGAATAATGAGCAAATAGATGATGAATTGTGCATATTGAAGCATTTTGAAGCAGCCTTGGTTGTAATCTCCAGCACCATACCACAGAAGCCAGGCAACTAGAGTATTTCTAGAACTCTGGCCAAACAGTTGTTACCCAACAGTGACACCTGCCATTAGATGACACTACCTAGTTACACATGGGAGCACTGCAGAATGCCTACTGGCCCACCTAAGGCAGATCCTACCCACTCTGCCTTTAATATGTTACCCCACTTTTAACCCAGGTTTGCCTTACCTTTAGTACTATATACACTGCTTATTCTAGCTATTCTGTATTAAAACTGAAATCACTCATAGTGAATTTTTTCCTTACAAACAAATGAACTTATTTCTATAAAGTGGAGTACTGTATATTATACAATTAGGGTGATTGACATACATATCTAATTTATAGACAGCCCCTTGTTATGCCTTGATCAGTACCTGATCAAGGCAAATATTTTCATCCTCACAGTTGCGAGGATGAAAATATGTAAGTGGTGCAGGTCTCCAACATGCATACAAGTTTCATTTCTGGTTTTTGAATTTGCAAATGAGTTGTTTGTATAGAAATATACAAAGGATGGTTACGTTTCACGTGTTTGTAAGGAATATCAACAGTTTTAAAACATTTATTGGTTCCTCGAAGACCACTTTTTGTATGTGTGGGTATGTGTAACTTGGTGGCATGTTTGCAGGTTTGAAACCTTTATTTTTTGACTGATTCAGTACCGACTGGGCCGGATTGGTCCCAGCACTCCTTATAAAATTTGTTATTTGCACACTATTGCAAAATTCTCATTTTATGAAGACATTATTTTTACATTTTGGTATTGTGTGCCTTTTTACTGTTACCAGTACAGTTTTTAAAGAAAAAGATAAAGCCATAAAGAGAACATGAAATTAAATGTTGCAAGAGAATAAGAAACCCACTTTAATGTAATGCTGATTAGTTTACTGAGGGCTACAAAGATGTATCATTTTTAACACTTATTTCCTCTCTGCTTTTCCAAAAAAGTATAAAACGAAATCTCAGAAATCAGTAAATATACACTTCCAAATGAAAATATACAATGTAAAATGACATTCACTAAATGGATGTTAAGAGGGACTCAACACACCATTAACTAGTCTCGTTAGTAAAACACTACAAATGAGTATTGTATTGGATGTGTGGAAAATGTCTATGATACCTGATTTTGAAGCAGGAGACAGGTTCATAGCTTCAGATTACTGATTACAGTAATCAGCTTAATTGTACTTGTAGGAAAATTAATAGAACCACAAAGTGTGGATGAAATTCAAAGCCACCTTGTAAGACATTTCATCAGTGAATCTCCACACGGTTTTATAAAGCCATGTTCTTACCTGATGAATTTACTAATATTTTTAATAAGGTGTTTAATTAACCCTTTGAGGGTCGAGAACCTCAATCCTGAACACCCACTGGGGGTCAAGAAATATTCGAAAAAATAAAAATTAAAAATGATTTTTTCTTGCCAAAATCTTAAGATTATTTTTGTTAGTGTTTTAATAAAACAATTTTTTTTTTTGCGATTAATATTTACCGAGATAGAGGTGTGAAGTTGATAAAAAGTGAACCGCTTATGGCAGCATCGCCGACTGCTGGTCAGGCAGTAATCGTTTATATTTTTTTCTACAGTTTTCTTATGTTTTTTAACATTTTATTTTTTCATGCAACTTTTATGGCCTCTGAGACCAATATGAGGCATATTGTACATAAATTCACTCATGTGCTACACAATAACCATATAAACAATGTTGTCATTATATTGTTTACAAAAACATGTTTACACAAATGAATAATAGAAAATGTTGTTTATAACTATTTTCCTATATTATATATACACATATACAGTCACTGGACATGTTCCTAGAAGTGCCGCAGCTTGTGGAAGTCTTTGAAACATGGTGTCATGCACAGTGGTGTTTTACACTCCTCACACATAAAATGAGTGTCTCTGCATTTTTGTGGGTGTTTTGTTGTATGAGCACAGACAAAACACCTGAGCAGTTTTCTTCAAAGTAGTAGGAGGCAGTTGCATCAGGTAGTGATCATCAGGCCTCAGACAAGAGGGTAGTTGTTGACCAGTTCATAGGTGGTGTTCTATTGCAGTTGTTGTTACTTGGTACTTGAATAATATTTGCCTGATGACAAACAAAATTGACCATATTGTGGTTTGGTTCTGGTCTACAACTTATATTATAAGGATTGAGCATGGAAATGTCCAGAAGATGAAAAAAAAAAAGTTTTATGTACCACTTGTAACTCTTGCAAACACAATCAGCAAACCCAATTTGCACGTCACATTTGTCCACTGAGTGCACATTGAAGGTGTAGTCCATCACAGCTGCAGGTTTTAGAATGGGTTCATTGGTCTCTCTATTCTGCCTGTCAGTGTCTGTCATTTTATTTTGGTGAATTGATGTCAGCAGTGTGACATCTCGTTTGTCATGCCACCGAAATGTCATGATGTCATTGGCAGCAAACGCCTGCACCTCACCTTTACCATTGCCTGTGTTGAACCTAGACATATACTTACAATTTGCATGCACTGTTCCACACATGTCTGTCATGTTCACTCACAAGAAATCACTGAGTAAGGGGCTTGTGTACCAGTTATCAGTATATAATATATGCCCCTTACCAAGATATGGTTCCATCATTGTTCTAACCACATCACCAGAGATACCCAATAACTTCTTGGTATTTTGCAATGTATTGTACTTCCGGTGTACACAATAATCCAATACAAGACCACTGTAGCAGTCACAAAGTACAAAAAGCTTTATACCAAAGCGTTTCCTCTTGCTTGGTATATACTGCTTGAACGACAGTCTACCTTTGAACAAAATCAAAGACTCATCAATAACAAGCTTCCTGAAGGGATAAAAATACATATTGAATTTCGGTTTCAGATACATAAACACATTCCTAATCTTATGTAACCTGTCTTTTCTGTCAGGCCTGGTTTTGTCTGAGAAGTGTAGCAAACGTAATAGTAGCACAGATCGATTCACTAGTATTATATCACTGAAAGATGGGGTTGCAATCAGGCAGTTTGTCGATCAGTATGATTTGACACTGTGCTTATGTTGTGTACGAATGGTATATAATACCGACAAGATGAGATTAAGACACATGTGCAACATCTGGGTATCTTTATTGTAGACGTTTCGCCATCCAGTGGCTTTATCAATACAAATTCTAGGACATAACTTGAAGACAGTAGAACTATGTACAGAAGATGAGGTAATCAGTCCCTCAACCTAGGAGTAGGTGCGAAGAGCACCATAGTCGTGGAGATTCTGAAGCAGAAGAAAGGATCCTGGCGCTTATATAGTAACGTCAGGTGTAGTAGACGAGGGCATATTCACTGGTAGGTGGGATTCCCCAGTGGAAGTAGGTCCTTCCCAAAGAGATGGGTTAGTTGTAGTAGTAGTTGTCGTAGTCATGAAGGTTATGTACATGTCCTCAGAATTAAGATTCCATGATGTTGCAGTGTCTGACAAGTTGTGTACGAATGGTATATAATACCGACAAGATGAGATTAAGACACATGTGCAACATCTGGGTATCTTTATTGTAGATGTTTCGCCATCCAGTGGCTTTATCAATACAAATTCTAGGACATTTGTATTGATAAAGCCACTGGATGGCGAAACGTCTACAATAAAGATACCCAGATGTTGCACATGTGTCTTAATCTCATCTTGTCGGTATTATATACCATTCGTACACAACTTGTCAGACACTGCAACATCATGGAATCTTAATTCTGAGGACATGTACATAACCTTCACGACTACGACAACTACTACTACAACTAACCCATCTCTTTGGGAAGGACCTACTTCCACTGGGGAATCCCGCCTACCAGTGAATATGCCCTCGTCTGCTACACCTGACGTTACTATATAAGTGCCAGGATCCTTTCTTCTGCTTCAGAATCTCCACGACTATGGTGCTCTTCGCACCTACTAGGTTGAGGGACTGATTACCTCATCTTCTGTACATAGTTCTACTGTCTTCAAGTTATGTCCTAGAATTTGTATTGATAAAGCCACTGGATGGCAAAACGTCTACAATAAAGATACCCAGATGTTGCACATGTGTCTTAACTGTGCTTATACACATGTGGCATAACCATTATTGTGGCAAAGAAAACATACATCTCAGCCACAGTTGTCTCCTTCCACTGGTTTAGGTGTGATCTTGGTGAAAGAATTGTGTTTGCCATGGTGTAATCGAAGTATGTGTTGCTTTCCCTGACAATTTCCATCAGGGGTTCGTCAAAGAATGACTCAAAACATTCCAGTTCAGTGGCATTATTCCCAAGTGTACAAGATGGCCATATTCCACTTTGACTTTCATCAAAGTGATGGGGATTGGAAACAAAATTGGCACCTTCCTACCAATCCCAGGTGGTCTGCTGGTGGGTACTGGATATTGATAGGTGGTTGTGGTTGCAGAGGTTGCTGTTGTGGAGCTAGGTGTGGTGGGTGGGTGGGTGGGTGAGGTTGGGCTTTGTTGTAGCTAAGCTGACTCAGTGGCATGGGTACCAGCATGGGCCACTGCTGGTTCCTCATGGTACATGGCACCACTACCATCTGATGATGCATGCACATTTTTCATCCCCATTGTAACAATATCATCTTCATTTTCACTATCTGTTCCTCTTGTATGGTCACGGGATGTACTCCTTCCCCTTGGAATAGCATATGGCACACTACCAGAGTGCAAGTAGTGTCGTAAATACTGACGCTTCACTGGGGAATATTCCACTTTACTATCGCTACTGGAAATGTTTTCAAGAGCTTGGATATCATATTCACTATCACTATCATCACCACTGCTCACATCCAAGTCCTGGACACGGGAAAGTACGAGTTTCCTCTTTCGTTCTGGTACAACTGAACATGAACAAGACGCCCCAGCACCAGAGGTGGAAGGTTGAGGGTCATGTGGGTTTTCATCTTTATTACTGGTATTTTTTTTTTTTTCAACAAGTTGGCCATCTCCCACCGAGGCAGGGTGACCCAAAAAGAAAGAAAATCCCCTAAGAGAAAATACTTTCATCATCATTCAACATTTTCACCTCACTTACACATAATCACTGTTTTTGCAGAGGTACCCAGAATACAACAGCTTAGAAGCATATACGTATAAAGATACACAACATATCCCTCCAAACTGCCAATATCCTGAACCCCTCCTTTAGAGTGCAGGCATTGTACTTCCCATTTAAAGGACTAAAGTCCGGCTATATAAAAATAACCGGTTTCCCCGAATCCCTTCACAAAGTATTACCCTGCTCACACCCTAACAGCTCGTCAGGTCCCAAATACCATTCGTTTCCATTCACTCCTATCGAACACGCTCACGCACGCTTGCTGGAAGTCCAAGCCCCTCCCCCACAAAACCTCTTTTACCCCTTCCTTCCAACCTTTTCGAGGACGACCCCTACCCCGCCTTCCTTCCCCTACAGATTTATACACTCTCCATGTCATTCTACTTTGATCCATTCTCTCTAAATGACCAAACCACCTCAACAACCCCTCTTCAGTCCTCTGACTAATACTTTTAACTCCACACCTTCTCCTAATTTCCACACTCTGAATTTTCTGCATAATATTTACACCACACATTGCCCTTAGACAGGACATCTCCACTGCCTCCAACCTCCTCCTCGCTGCAGCATTTACAATCCAAGCTTCACACCCATATAAGAGTGTTGGTACTACTATACTTTCATACATTCCTTTGCCTCCATAGATAACGTTTTTTGTCTCCACATATATCTCAACGCACCACTCACCTTTTCTCTCTCATCAGTTCTATGATTAACCTCATCCTTCATAAATCCATCCGCTGACATGTCAACTCCCAAATATCTGAAAACATTCACTTCTTCCATACTCCTCCTCCCCAATTTGATATCGAATTTTTCTTTATCTAAATCATTTGATACCCTCATCACCTTACTCTTTTCTATGTTCACTTTCAACTTTCTGCCTTTACACACACTCCCAAACTCGTCCACTAACCTTTGCAATTTTTCTTTAGAATCTCCCATAACCACAGTATCATCAGCAAAAAGTAACTGTGTCAATTCCCATTATGTATTTGATTCCCCGTAATTTAATCTCACCCCTCTCCCAAACACCCTAGCATTTACTTCTTTTACAACCCCACCTAAAAATATATTAAACAGCCATGGTGACATTACACATCCCTTTCTAAGACCTACTTTTACTGGAGTAGTCTCCCTCTTTTCTACACACCCTAACCTGAGCCTCACTATCCTCATAAAAACTCTTTACAGCATTTAGTAACTTACCACCTATTCCATATACTTGCAACATGTGCCACAT